CCCCCCCCCTGACGTGTGTCATGCAACAAGACATCATTGAAGCACTACAGGTGGCCTGGCCTGAGGCGTGTCCGGGAGAAGGTCGGGTGGCATCCGGGGAGGTTGTCCTTGAGAAGGAGTTCGTTCCGAACGATAATCTGTTGGTTCAAGAAAAACTGGCGTAGCACCCGCGGCATCTGCTTCACGACGTGCCCGAAACCTGGCAGGTTAGATGAAGAAGTGCGGGATACTTTGGTTCACATCCATACGAAGGGGTCACGTTTGCCAAGGGTGGCATATCCGACGAACGCTCTTGACGAGTGCGTGGGCTTAAGGGATGATCTTGTTGGTCGAATTTACGAAGATCGAGTGTGAGACTGGTTGCAAGGAAGTGTTAGGGTCTACCTATCTGCGTCATGGTGTTGAGCGCCTCGTCTCCGTCTCGTTTCGTAGTTGCCACAAGAGGGGAGTGGCGAACGTAAGCAAAAACGTGTGAAATGCCACACAAGAATAATAATATGAATAATATGAAAGACAAGAACGGTATGCATTTCTTAGAGTGGAGGCAGCATCACATACGGGAAGCACCCGTCCCGGTCCACAGTTGGGAATCCGAAGCGCATACGTAGGCCGCTGACGTATGGTTAGACTATACCCAAAAAAGATGCAGAGAAAAACACGTAACTGCTGCTATACGCGGCGGACCTGCTCAGTCGGAGCAGAGATTACGTTGGAAACACTTGACGTTCAACGTCAGTAAGTGACCATTGAGACCATGGAACGACCGAGGGTAATTTACATGCTCCCTGGATACTGCCAATCGACACCCGACAATAATGAGTACCCCGACGACGCTCCGCCCAGTACAAGGTTAGCACGACATGCTTCATACCCGTCAACCACCCGTTGACGCTCTCCGCCATGCTGCTGTTCCACAGGAACGTCTCGTTCCCTTCGAGGTCTACATGCCACAAATAAATACGGATCGTTCCGGGGAGGTCGAGGTGCCCCGGTAAGGGTGGGGAGGCTGACATCGGGTTTTATTTGACCGCTTCTTTCGTACTCCATGAATAGTCTAGTCGTCGGCCTTCGGAACAATCGCGTTTAACCCGCGGAGCTCATAGTGCACCAACGCATGTGTGTCGATGTCATACTACAGCAGTGGACGGACTCTTGGATCTTCGTTGATTCATACTTATGGTCTCAGTGCCGCAACGAATGTTTATGCGGAAGAATGTATATGTGTTTTGCTCCTCAACCGAGTGGTTTTGCGTTAGTAGTTGTGTACCTGCGGACGGATCTCGCATGCATTCAATGAAAGGCGGTGGTCTGTGCTACTTGTGGCAGCACGAAGGTTGACGTATTTCGTGTTTAGCATGTCGCAGTGCCCGCCACATTGTCGGGTAGCGGCGAAGATCAGATGCTATTCGCCCTGTCGTTTTTGTCTTGTTCTGTCCGCAATGCACATGTATTGCGTTATTACGTGCGTTATTACGTAGGGAGCTGAGAGTCTGCCACTGCCCGTGTTCCACCTTTCCTGGGAATTCACAGCAGTAGTCTAATGGGACTCTTGGACATGTTTCCCTTAAATGTGTGTGCCAGTGCCGCACAGATTCTCCCTGTGGACGAACGTACTGGCATTTTTTTCCTTAGCAGAGGAGAGTGATTTCGTTTAGATGTACTGTAGTCTGCTGTAGTTGTGTGGAGGGAGGATTTGGCGTGTAATCCCAGAACGCATAATCCCGTCATAGTTGAGAGGCTTGCATGTTTCGTATCTTGCATTTTGCAGTGCCACGTTGACGGGTGTCAGGGAAGATCGGCCCACAGAATACGCCGTAGGTCCTTCCTCGATCGCTTGCTGACGGCATCAGGAGGAACGGCATTTTACCAGCGGTGCTCACACACGGCAGTGGTGGGACTTTTGGATGCTTTTCACGCGTGCGCAAAAGCCCCATACCGGTGAACCTTCTTCTACTATGTGTACGGACGTATGGGCGTCTTGGTCGTCAGTGGCAACTTTTGTGGCGTAATGGATATGATGGGGGGAGGATATAGCATGTTTTTGGAAAGCCCGTTGCGCCGTAACATCCTCGTAGCAGCACGATCTACATGCCTAGACTATAACAGGGCCGCTTCGTTGGTGACGATGGCAAAATATGTTGCCCGCTGCTGTTTGGTTCTTACATTTACATGTTGTTGGCGGAATCCGGATGTATCGCGTTGTACCTGCGGAGCTCATATTTTGCCAGTTCATAGGTTTGCGTTACTCCGCCAACTGGTAGCAGTGGTGGGATCTTGGATATATAGATCATGGACGTGCACGGAGGAAGTACTCGCTAATCTCCTCGCCGGTGGCAAGTGGCTTTACTATATTATTGTGTTTTAGTTTTCCCAAACCTCGATGCGCCGGGATATTTGTGGCAGTACGAAAGTTTGTTGTATCATGTTTTGCATTAGAGTGACCAGGTGACGGTACGAGGCTGAGCTCAGAAACCATTTATGTGTCGTCTTTTTTGGTTCTTCTCCCATCTATTGTTGTCGCGTGGGCGACCCTACGTCGCATCGGGAACTATCGCGTTCTACCTTCAGAGCTCACAGTTTGCCAATGCATGTGTTTGCGTGTCCTGGGAATTGACAGCACGTAGTGAATCTGATGTTGCCGCAAGTACCGTGACGATTTCCACTGACTGACGGATGGTATTCTATTCTGGAGAGGGAAGCCTTTCGCAGTGTCGAGTCCACTGGTGACGGGAGGAGGCTGACATTGGATACTCTTTGTGCGTTTTTCCGAGTCATACTGTCCCAATAGTGCTCGCCGTTCGCAGCTTTCGCGTTCTTCCTGCAGAGCTCATATTTGACAGTGCATGAGTTCTTGTCCTGGGAATTCACAGAAGCGGGACTGATTGATACTTTTTCATACACACACGTGGCAAAACGGCAGCTACCGATGATTCCCACAGATGATGTGTACGAACAAATTGGGAACTTTATCCCCACTCAGAAGTAGTGGTGCTTTGCGTATATGCTCTGGAAGAAGGGTTTGGCATGGATAGGTCGTGTGAGAATGGGTTGGTGGGGGACATACTTTCATTCCTGCATGGTAGTATTGACCGCAATATTCCGAATGAAATCTATATATGTGTAGTCCCATTATCCATTTAGCTATATACAACATTGATATTTCATGGATACAGGGCAAAGACTTTCCGAGGTTCAATGGGTTCCGGACGATGGCTTTCTGTTGGGAGGTCGACTATTATTTAGGAGGACAACATCATCTTGCTTGGGTGGATTAGTTCGATTTGGATATGACATGGTTTGTTTGTAGAAGGGCGACCCCCCTCTGCCGTACGTGGGCCAGCGTCCTACCTTCACTAACAATTGAGTCCTGTGTCGAACCTCCTACTTCCCCCATATCCCCGCCAGGCCGTACTTGGCACCCAACGCGTTAACACTTGACATGCATTGGCTACCCACGATTTCAATCACCCAGAGTAAAGGGGCCACCAACGGGAGCCTGCAGTTGGCGGCACTTTCACCCTAGATTGGCCGCCAACAGCCATACGTATGGGAGCATTTCCCTAAATGCTCGCCATTTGGGCTCCCAAGGTTGGGCCGCCGACATTTCACAGCAATTCCGCCTGCTATGCGCAGCCCATGGGCGGCCCATCTGTCGTCCTCAGCATGCTCACCACGGGTTGGCGGCTTTTGATGGGTTGCATTTGGTGGGCTGCCCGTGGGTAATCGCCTATGTGGGTAGCCCACGATAGATGGGCTGTGACCATCGGCTGCCCATGATGGGCTGCCCACAACAAAGGCTGCCCAACAAGGCTGCCCATGCGCACCCCACTATTTGCTGACTTGCCCATGACCTGCCGACAATGTGCCGCCCATTGTGGGCTGTCCATGGTCTGCCCAGGATATACTATGGTGGGCTGGCTGCTTGTGACCTGCCCACGATGGGCTGCCCATCGTAAGCTGCCCATAAGCTGCCCACGATCGGCTGGCATCATCCAACAGACTTACGGGAAAAATGGGAACGTATCCAAAAATGAGAATGGGCGTTTGTTTTTAGAAAGCAAACCACGCCTTTGCAACTCCCCCCAAAAAAGTTGACAGTGCTGTAGGTCTTTACAGCAGCTTTCGAATGAGCTGTTGCTCAAGCTGTATGTCCTCGGCATCGCCGAGGTAGCCAGCATCGCGAGAAATCAGGTCGAAACCAGCACGAATCGCTTTTTGCGCCCGTGAGAAGGCGTGATATGGAGCATGGCGGTTCTGATGAGCTCATCTCACAGCTGGGGCGAAGGGGTTTCGCAGGATAATTTTGGTTCTGTGATGCACCCGATGGTTCTGAAGAAAAACGCCAATTCTCATTTTTGGATACGTTCCCATTTTTCCGCAAGTCTGTTATCCGCTCGTGACCTGCCCACGATGGGCTGCCCATGGTAAGCTGCCCATGAGCTGGCCACGGAAGTGCGGACAAGGGAGAGGCAATTCTTCCAAACCAATTCGGAGACGACCGCCCTCGAGAAGTACCGGGGCTTCGATACGCTGGTCGGGTGCATCGTCGAAATCCAAGTAGAGAGAGTTCGGCAGGTGGGTGTCTCTTGAGCGCGTTTTTCTTGTAGGGTGTGGATACCTACCAACATTGGATGTTGCGATATTTTGAGAATTTGTTTTAGAGCTCTCAATAGACGGGTGTGTACCCTTGCACGCATGCTCATGTATGAAGTTCGACGACATGGCTACGACATGCGACCCAGATGGTCTCAACAAAATGAATCAACACCTCCGACACCTAGTCCGCAAGGTACAGGGAAGTTCGTCCGCTTCATGTGACCTATTGGATATTCGTCTCCACTACAGTACACCACACAGAACTTTATGGACAAAGCCCAATCAAACACGTTNGAAAGTCGGTCAGTTTAAAACGGCCCTAAGTCAACAAAACTTTGGTCGAAACACTACATACAGCTGAACTCTAGGCACGAACCTTAGATGGAGAAAAACGAACAAAACCCCAACCTCATCCACCCGANCCCGACACCGTGTCCGCAAGGTACAGGGAAATTCGTCCGCTTCATGTGACCTATTGGATATTCGTCTCCACTACAGTACACCACACAGAACTTTATGGACAAAGCCCAATCAAACACGTTCACATTATTTCTTATTTTGTTTGCCCTCCGACAATTGCAGATAAATGCAGACATACATAAAAAGTCGATCGTAAAGGCCGTCATGCCAAGCCAAATTAACTCGATGCCCAATAGCTAGGAATGTTTGCCTCTAAGTACCGTTTTAAACGGACCGACTTTTTTGTCAAAATTTTCGACAGCTGTCTTTCAACAACTTGGAACCTGTGTGCATTCATTTTAAACGTGTGACGTAGACTTGTGCAACTTGTGTAAAAAAAAATGNTTTGCTCGTTCTGAGGCAACCCCCATTCAAGCCCATGTTCCCCCAGACCCCCGACACTGCCACCCCCTGTTCCTACTTCCTTGCCACCTTCAACCACAAGGGAACACGTTCACATTGTTCTGCCCTTTTTTAGACTATGAAACCAGCCTTTTCTGATACATCACTGACACTCACAACCCCCAACACCGTTGGTATCAAGTGGTGCACGTACAAAGCGAAAACAGCTGTTGTTTCACAGAATGCGGCGTCTTGCAGCAGCGGAGGTGGCGGTGCTGCTGTAGCTCGTAGACTTTGTAGTCTACCACAGAGGTTACACTGCTGTCACCGCTCTATCACAGAGGTTGGTCTTCACTGCTGTGAGATCGGTAGGCCCGAGCGAGCTTTGGGAAGAGAAATGTAGATAGATGTTCTTATCAACTGACTCCCTGGTCAGGCTTTGATTGATGGGTGCTAGATGAGAGTGAGCACAAGGGGCGAAGGCGCGCTTGTGTCTCATCTCAACAACAAAACAAAAACAAAAAACAAGCAGCAAAAACACAGCAGGTTCCGAGGGTCTCCGGAGTAGTCTAATGGCCCGAGTACCGGAATTTCGGGGTTCGGAACAATAAAACAACTACAGTCTCGCCTGCCAAATTATCTCCGCTACAAATCTGTGCTCATGTTCTCTGCTGAGTACCATCTCTTCTTTCTGTATTATGTCTACGGAAGGCTAGTTGCCGCAGTCGCACCTATGGTAAACTGTGCCTGACTACGTTGTAACAGTTTTTCTCGACATTATTATCCGAAACGGCAATTCTCGCTGTACATCCAGAAAAAATAAATAGAGGTAGATTCACAAAATTGCCACAATATCCCCAGCAAGTTGTCAAACGCACCATCCCCTGAAGCTATGACGGTAAATTTTTTTCAACACACCACGTATAGGAGGGCTTGTCCATGATATTATTGTCATTCACCCAGCAGAGAACTGCAGGGGATGCAATGAAAAATGCATTCCTATGTTTGTGATTTTCGTCCTACCATAGACTATATATTATGTATGGCTCCAGTCCCCCCATTTTCAGTGTACTTTTTCGTACAAGTACAACCATCCAGGGCCACACAGGAGGGGGTAAAAACCAGGGTTTTCTTCTTCTTTTTATATATTATAATGCCCCACCTTCATCCTGCGGTGCGTGGTGAATTGTTATTTATCGCGAGAAGGATCCAGCCGTCCCCTTCCCTCGTCAACGGTGCTAATGTCGAAGTTTGGTACTCACGAGAGCTGTTTCAGGTAGTCTATATTTCGTAATTTTGTAATGGTTTCACCCCACGTGGATTCGAGCTCACTGCCTTTGCGACTAGCGGTTTACAAAGATACCACTAGACCACCGGGACGCCCGTCTATTCCTATACAGATGTTGTATGTGCTTAGGGCCAGCTGCCGAAAGCGTTCAAAACCCAGTGTAGGTAAACAAAAAACATAGAATATACGCTCAGCATCCAGCCGATCTTCTCCCAGAACCGTAAAAAAGAAAGTGAACGTTTCGTTCGATTTCGATCGTTTTCCGATAATCGACGAACGAAATGGATTTCGTGGAACCGACCGTTTGTTTGTGTTCGTCTCATGTAATTCTGGTGCAGTATTCAAACCTCTCGGTCCTAACATTTCACGTATCAGCCGGGGTCATCAAGGAGCAAGTCTTCGCAGAAATCCATTCCAGTATATTCCTTTGCTGCTTCGCCTTTCCTCCTACGGTGCGTACCATATTCACCCCAAAGTAGCACCTGACAGGCCGACGCGAGACACCTTCGAGATTTTCGTTGTTTGGCTATTAAGGAGAGAGCAAAAGTTCTACATGTAGGCGGAGTGAGGTGCCGGCGGGGTGAGGCTCCATCCCTCTCGCGTATTCATTCATGATTGTTTCGGTTCCTTCCGTAACGTCTCAAGCTGCGTCGCTCGTGTACGCCAAACCGCCGAGAAAAGTTCTCATCACCAAAAGTTGGGGATTTTGTCATGTGCCCAGCGTTTCATTTCCGAAGTAATGTCGTCTTGACTAACGTCCAAGGGAACCCATTTCTTCATGGCGCCCCCCCCGGTGAAAGGACTAGACCCACTTGCCCACCACACCGAATACTTGGGACATTCTTTGGAAAATCCACCTTCCACGAAAAGTGTCGCAATAGTAACGTGGCGACCAATGTAGGGGGTACGGTAGCCTCCCGAAGTGTGAGGCTTCCTTGCGCCAAAGCTATCCTCGCCTGTGGTTTCCCATCGTCAACACCCACACACGCGGCTAATGCTCTTTCGTACTCTTTTGAGCCTTCAACTGACAACACTGAACATTGCCTTCCATGCGCCCCTCGCCCTCCCTTTCTCAACTTCCCCCCCCAGTTCATCCCGAAATTCCTCGCCCAGTCGAAGAGGCGGACGAAGGAGCTCGCGCAGGCTCTCCGTGACATGCCGAAGGTCTTTTCCAACGACAAAGAGCTGTGGGAGGAGTTCCGGAAGGTCGACTCTACCATTCCGGAGGAGCTCGAGGACCTGGGAACAACCGCGCGATCACCGGCCAGGACGAGTCCATGGACATCGTTCCCCACAGTACCCGCAAGGGCGGCCAAGTGGAATAAGAGGTCGAGCTACCACCGGCGCCCTTGTTGCAATACCTATTACCGACCGTACTTACTGTGTACCTTACCCACCTACCGTACGCAACACCGGATGCCTCAGAGTCAAAGACTGAGATCGTTGCAGTTAAACATCTTGAAGAGTAGACAAATGTACGGCTTGAGCAAGTACTACATTCTAAAGGAATATGCGCATCCCCTGCTGCTGTCGCCTGGCTAGGAAAAACGACCAGAAACGCGAAACAGCAACGGCTCTGGAATAACTTCGTGACTGTACCGAGATTTCTCAAGGCTCCCGCGATCACAACTGCTATTTCGCTGTACGTTTATCTACACATCCCCCATGGTGGGTGGATTGTGGAGTTGCGGTGCTGTCGCAGAAACGTTCGACGCCCTGCTGTACACAGCGCAGTACTCTATACCTCTACCTGAAAAATATCGATTTAAACTCCCCCGCCGCTCGTACGCTCCCTGCAACGAATCGTTGACAGGACGTTGTACCCAACTTCTTCACCGATGAGCACCACCACAAGGTCTGCGCCGCTTTCAAGCGTGTGGATGGCATGCCCTGCCGAGTCTACTCGGCGGGCGCGTGTTCAGTACTCTTTTCGGCGAAGTCTTCTCCGAGGAGCTCGGTGTTCGCTCGGAGAAGTTGGGCGAAGGGGTCAAAAGACTTCATGCAAGGCGTGCTGGGGAAGTTTGGCGATCACACCTGCCCCGCCCACCCCGTCCTGCTTAACGAGCTCAAGACCAACCTCGTGGGACACTTTGCAGACTCAAAGGAGGCCAGCGCGAAGAGCGCGGTTGAAAATATTGTCAAGGCTGAGCTCGGGTGGGTCTTCACCCAGGACCGGTCGTACGAAGACACCATGCGTGACGTCCGCGAGATAGCGAGCCTCGTCCGCAAGAGCAAGGTGGAACACGAGGCTACCGCTGGAACGGACAGCCAGACCATCTTTGAACTTGCGAAGGATGTGGGTACCATCCCTGAAGCATTCATCTGGAACATTGTAGACGCCCAGCCCAAGAGTGAGGACGACGCGATCCGCGATCTTCAGCGGTATGTGTTAATACGCATGGGTCTCTCGCCCTCAGTTTGTATGCGGTTGCGACATGAAAATCGTCGCACCCGGCACGTAAAAGTGTTATGTTCTCTTCGAGGCGGTGGTGGAGACAAGTGAGCTGGGATGGTCCTAGAACTAAGTCGCGCGTCTCGCGGTCGTTCAATGTGTATGGTTTATATATTGTACGTGTTGTTGAAGCAGCGGATGAACACGGCGTAAGAGAGTCATGACGCCTCCTCCTCCTCGCGACATTGTTGTTAGAAGAGCATGCACCAATAGGTTCGTACCAAAGTGCGTGCTATTGGGTGTGATGCACCGTCCAAAAAAATGAACGCGACAGAGAACACCCCGCAATCAAGGCCCGCACACCTAGCTGTGCGGCCTGTTTGTGCTTCGATTGACGTGCGTCACCCCAGGAGAAGAAGATAAACCTTCGGCATATTCACACCCACCTGCCAATCTCGCACAAAACCGGTCATCCTGCACGCGTATAGCGATGTCGTCTGCAGGCGGCTGTTCGACAGCGTCCCCAAGCAGATCCACCTATTTCTCGTGGATGGCATCTGCAAAGGTCTCGTGACTTGGATGCTGGACACGGTGGAAGAGACCGACGCAGAGGTGACTGGTCGAGGATGCGCTTTTCCAGCGCAAGCGGAGAGAGCTCGAGAGCTCTCCCAGTTCGAGGAGGCAGCAAACATTCTCAAAAACGCAGGCGGCCGTTCCAAGTAGAACCACAGGCAGTGTCGTTTCCCGTCCCCCGACTATTCTAGCTTTGCGATAAGGAAGAACCAAGACGATGCCTGCAACGAAAATAACAATCTGGATCACTGAGGTCACTTTTTCTTCAGCGGAGTGAACCGAGCTGCTGGTGATGGTCGTGTTTTGATTTCTTGAGGGTAGGGGACGCGCCGATCACAACATGTCGTTGACAGCGTTTTCCTTCAGGTTCCAAGCGAAGAAAACGGTGGGGACGGGAGTGAGCAGCGCCTCCTTCCTTGGATGCATAACTGCTTTGATAGACAATCATCTCTCTGGGGCGCATTCGCCGATGATACCGAGTGCACCCTAGCTTGGGATAGATGCCAATCGAACCACCTATATACCAATGGAAGAAGCGACAATCCTCACGCAGAACAGTAGGCAGTGGGGTAGGTTCGCATGCTTGTAGGCAAGTACGATCGAATGGCTACGCGCATTTTGACAATCTTGGGGCAAAACTGAGGTAAGAACTGTGCAGGGTCCGTGGGTGATTGAGTGAATATCTCATCGGTCAAGCGTTCTATCCATCGGCTCAACCCGCCAGTGGAAACAATTGGTACAGTAGTGGCTCCCGTTGGGAAGAAGTTTTTGGAAGACAGTCTCAGAATAAGAATGTTGGCATAGCCGAGCAGTGAACAATTTCTTCATTCGTGGCGCCTTTGCCTGAAAGCATAGTGCGGCAGCTCCTTCCCCGTTGCACAAATTGGCCAGGGTGGGGGAAACACACACGAAAGACCGGGAGGGCAACAGGAGAAACGACGAAGGCTGTTGGTATATCTTCGCTACAGCTGTCCTGTGATAAGACGAGTTAGGAGTATTTCCCGAAATGGGAATTGCTTTCACGCCGTGCACCAAAACATATGATGCTCTCCTCTTCGTACAGTCTCGAAAACCGGCGCAGAGAAAAGGCTTAAAGGCTTGAACAACCCACGTGCCTTAGAGACAAGTAAGGATTCATGCCACTCACTGCCTAAGCCATCCGAATCAACTCCATATCGGACTTGTGTTCCAGCCTCCCGATTGACTAGTCGTCCGAGAGGCGATCATCAATCACGCGTTGTCTTAAAATGTCTCACGTGCATGACGCGGTGGCTGGAATGTGTCTCCTAGGAAGAGAGAGGTACAGCAGTATGCTCGCCATGATACGAGCGCAGAAGTGAACCTGGATAGACCACAGCCCACAGTGTCTAGATCCTTGACAAACTTGGAGCCGGGCATCAGAAAAGTTTTGTGACAGAGGTACTTCCGGATACGTGAACAACGGAAAATAAACATTCCTACAACATTGTTGCAGCGGACCGTCAGTTTGTTTGTGGAGGTGTGGCAACACTCGATTTCTCCTGCCAAAGAACAATCATCAGGGCGGGCATGAACCTATGCTGGAGCCCCAATCAAGGAGCTCATGGACGACAACCGTCAATAACATTGATTTTCGCCCAATCGTTTGTAGGCGTCAGGCTACACCAACCGGGGCACCCACTACAAGTATTGTTCTGTTTTGACGCACCAGTCGGGTTCATTCATTACGCCAGCTTTGACGGCGTCTTGCAAAGTTGCATAGGAATCAATTCTTCTTCCAGCGGCGATTGTCTTCAACATTCATTGAATCAAGGGTTGAGCCAGCCCCTTCCCCCTCTGTGGTGTGTCACGAACCACAGGCTTGTACTTTGAAATCGCGAGGTATTTCATTCGGCAGGAGAGGTCCAAACCCTCAACCTCAATAGGTACGAGTGCAATCGTGCCTGTGAGGAGCTTGCCCGTGGAAGTTCAGCAGGGAGAAGCACCATCGAGCCGGAGGCACACGCCTGGAGATATAGAAGCCTCCTCGGAACGATTGTGGCGGAAAAAACTGTTGGTGCCTCACCGCCCATTCATTCAGTTCAGTGTTTTTGTCTTACTCGAACGAAGATATGACATCGATCACATGCAGACAGCAGAAAAGCAACAACCCCGGCCCGGATTGCGGTCGGTGCTAACGTGGTAGAACGACATGGAGGTACCAAGGGCTCGACTTTATCTACCCACCGCGGAACCCCGACGGCACAAAAAAGGGCCCACGTATCGTGCGGAGTATCCCCTACTGACTGCAGAAACACGCATACATACAACGACAGAGACTACCCCTTCGAAAACAACACCCGCAATCGAAGGGTTGCAGCCTATACAACGACCAAGTGTTGAGAAGAACATGCTAATCACACCAGGCTTACAAGATATTTGATTTAAATCTTTGTACAACCCGAAAGATCCGTTACTCCGAGAAGGCTAGTCGGCCTGCTATCGATCGAACCGACTAGCCTTCTCGAGACGCAACAACAAATCAGCGAGCAAGGCAGGCGGAGAATTGACACGACAAAAGCACCTCTGCGGCCGACCTACTAGAATTTGGACACCACAAAGCGCTACCGTGACCGGCCTACGCTTGGTTCTCATGTAGCCAGCTGCTGCGCCCAACACACATGCGCCGAAACGTGAAAACATTCAACTTCAAAACACCAACGGGAGACATCCCACACACACCCGTTCGGCCGCCAGAAAAAAAAACTGGCACAGGGAATCCCCACCACATACTCAGTTCCACGAAATATGCCACACCTACAGTTCCATCGAATGTGATACCAGCGCGTCAATGCCACCGAAGCGAGCGGGAAAAAACGTCGTGCCCTTTGTACCGACCAGCCGCGTGTCGTCAAGGACAGCATGACATCCAATGAGATGAAACCCTAACGCTTTTCCCGAAATCCGCTACAACAAATAAGCCGCAAACACCGCAGGCAAAATACGGTGGTTAACGAAAAAATACATGGAACATTTTATTCTCCATTCTACTAGCCATGTACACCGCAGGCACAAAGAAGGCGGTAAAAAACAAAACAGAGAGCACACAAAGGACACTACCACAAATGATCGCCACCCGAATGATGGCGGAAATGATGGGGATGGCACCACCGCAAAGATGACGGCAATACCGCGGGCATCTGCGCCCAGTCTCTCGCCGGATTGTTTTCTAACGGTGGGGGGGCATTTGATGCTGTTCCGCCGATTACCGATCAACAATAACGCCGCCATCACTACAAAACCTCGGAGTTCTTCACACCGAACCTCTGCAGTTTGTTACCCACATGCAACGCCCGTCCCTTGCCAAACGAGTAAATATTCTAAAATTCTCCAATGCAAGGCAGGCCGACCGAGAGAACTTCGATGGCGGCACCCATGTACTAAAACCCTAGATGCAGAGCAAGTTGCAGCCTTTGGAAGCTTCCAGCAGCGTGTGCCAATCGGAGGAAATCCTTCGACATCGCGCGCTGGAGTCGTTCCTGGTCTTCACGCACGCATCCCCCCCCCCCCGACAGAAAGCACCCCCACACTAACCACGCATCCTGCTCGGGTGCTCAACAACTCGTTCGTGAATCTTGCTTTGCCGACAACGCGACACAGCAGCAGCAGCAGCAGCAGCAGCAGCAGCCGCGACCCATGGGAAAATCGCCCCCAAGTTCTAGACGGAACACGGGAACGGGGGAAGCGCGTCACACCGGGATGGTTTTAATCTTGTGGGTGACGGTAGTGCGGCACACCGGGCAGAGGCTGAACTTGGACGCGCACGTGATGCAGCAGCAGTGGTGCCCGCACGGGACGAGCGTGCAGTCCACCTCGTTGTCGAAGCACACCTGTTGTGGAAGGACGATGAAAACCAAAAAGAGGCGCACGGCATGGTGGTAGGGTGAAGGCGTTCAATCGAGGCTGGCGGGGAGAGACCAGAGGCACGGGGGGGCACAGTGGCATGAATTCGTTGCAGGAGGGGGGGAGGGACGAAGATGAAACAGAGGGGTACAGGAGGGTAGGGGGACGATGAAGCAGAGTGGTATGTAGGTATTGATGAATTGTCGAGACTAGTGGGGAGGAACGGGAGGGCACAATGTAGTGAATTCATCGCAGGAGGCTCTGCGAGTGGGGGCTTCGTCAAAGACCCTACGATGTAGCACCGTGGGGACGGAGCGGCAAACGACACGACGCGAGACTTGGGGGCTAACCACGTAGAGCAAACTCGGCTGGGTGGGTAACAAAGGAGACGCAGCCATGCTATTTCAGTCTACTGCGGCATACGCACACGTACCTACGCTAGGCAAGGTCCCCAAACTCGATGGGTCCTCCCGGAGGAGAATAGCCACTGCCAGTCACCCCCGCGCGTCCCGTGCAAGGTGGGATGCCCCTTGCACTGTTAGTTGTCTAAGCTCATCGTGAAGCGGCGTCCCAAACAAACGATAGGGCAAAATAAAATAAAAAGTGACCGTTTTCCCCGCCGATCTTGCCAAAACTCACGATGCAGCAGTTGTCCGTCTCGACTTCTGCCGCAGCGGTCGTCAGGCTCGCCGTTGAACGACTGCCGAAACACACGCCTCCGGCACTTCCGAGGGGGTCTGGGTCGTTGCCGTTCGCTCTGTAGCGGCTACGCTCGGCGTCCTGCCCGGCACCAAGGTGAAACAGGAAAAAAAAAAAGAGTATGCGAGTGAAACCGAAAAACGATCAGCAATGCCGCGTGGGGCACAGAAATGGGCGTGGGAACAAATGTAGAGCTGACTTCGAATACGTTGATGCTGATTCTCCGACAAGCTCATTCTTACATCACCCGAGAGTGAGTTTAGAGGCACGAGTCGGAGACGAAAACTGGCGGTAGAACAAAGGGGAATCGATTCGGGAAACGCCCCAAGCTGTTAAGTCTGTGAGCGAATGAATCTAGAAATGAATCAAGATTCTTAGTGACACAGCAACACAATCCGACCCATATCCATCGAGGAAACCGATTCAGGCGGTGCTCCGCGTTATGAGCGCCGTGGGTAAGAATAAACCGTGCACCAGAAATCGAAACTTTAATTGAGACAGACAAAACAGTCCGACCGACAAAATATTTCCTGACCCGATCCATCGAGAGATCATGCCACAGGTTACACCACGAACGACGCGAACAAATGAATACAAACAGCACACGGTGTCGTGCGGTGAAAGGGCAGCTTAAGCGTTGCCAATTCCGTCTCGACACGGCATTTCGTATCGTCATGGCGGAGCGGCCAGATATGTGCGCCACGCACCAACCAAAGCAGACGCGGCGGCTTGCTCCCATAAAACTCATTCATTCTGCCGATGTATTCCCCAATCTCACTTTCGCTCGCGGGCCTTCTTACTCGACAGGGTACATATTGCTTGCCCTGACACAATTTTTTGGGTGAGGCAATAGTACCATCCTGCTTCGATTCCCGTCACAAAACACCATCTTCTTCCAAGGCCGTGCTCGCCAAGTAGCCTGTGGAATCTGAAGACCCTTTCATCTAACGCAAGATGTGAGTGTAACTCCAGCAGATCTGTTCATTTTGCTTTCGATTCCGTGGAAATGCTCGCCTGCTGCTGTACAAGAGCTTCGGCCGGTAGGCCTGTATGGAATTGAAGGCATTACCCAGGCTCACATATGCTACATCACACGATAACGACGGCGAAAACCACGACAACACCAGCAACGAAAACACAACACTTCTACCAAAGACACTCGCAAGATTGCAACACGAGGGTCAGCTAGAAATCCAAGCAGAGCATGCAACGATATCAGTTCCTCGCGGTTTCATGCTGGACCGTCTTTTATCTACGATCATCGAGGCACCGTCTCTCCTCAAAGCATACTCAAATATCGTACTGGCCAATCAGGAATGAGTGAAAAAGGTGAAAGAGAGGAGGCGCTCTCACCCTTGTCTTGGCGGAGCCATGTAGGCAAGCGTCAAGAGCTATCTTGAGCGTCGGCAGGTGCTTGATCTCCGAGACGGAGCAGCCCTGACAAGACGAGGCGAGAGAGTCGGACACAACAAAGACACAGCAGGGCAAACAAAAAATTCAAGCCTCCTTCACGTCATTTACTTATATCAGCACGGAACATATCACTTTATCACGTTCCACGAAGAAGTAAATAAGCGGAGGTGCGTGAATCACCCCCCTGCCCCACGGTGGCACGTTCCAGACGAAACGGGGCACCAAAATTTGTGATAGCCAAGCGAAAGCTTGGAAGCAAGCCTCCGCGGGAAACAAAACCAAGGGTGTATGCTGCTCGGGTATTCGTCAAGACAGAGATACGCCATGAAACTTCGTTGTTGTTCTATCCGAGACTGCATCATCTTTGGAGAAGATGGAACTGGTTGTGCAATGAGCAGAAAAAAACAAAAAAGAGACGATTCTTCGTCCAGGCCACCGGTAGGCGTTTCGCGAGGGGCTGCTGCGGGCACTGTCTTCAGAAGGTATCCAAGACATACGTTTACGGCCGCAAGTCTGAGCACGACACGCTTCACAACCGCGTGCTTGCGTGGGACGTACCTGCTGGTTCACAAGGTAGCGCATGGCCTGCACCTGCCCGTTCACCGCCGCGGCGCCGAGAACCGTCAGCGACCTCAGGTCTTTTATGGGCACCTACTTGCTCACGGAGGGGTAACGATAGGGGGGGGGGGG